TGAAAATTATACTCTATGTATCATAAAATGTGCAACAACAACGCTGGCAACATTGATGACAGCAATAACAAAATTTGCATGTATACTATTAACGACAACCAGAAATAACAATTAAGCAACATCAACAACATCAACAACAAAAACTCGCTACACAAACAACAATTTTGCAAAATCAACAACAAAATCTTGTAACATTTCAACAGCAAAAAGTTATTTGCAACAGGAGCAATAACAACCTCTTCGTAAAGAAACTCTAATGAGGAGAGTAATTAAAACAAGCCCGATCGAGCAGTTGAAACGATTCAAGTGGATTTCAATTGCAGACTTGCCGACGGAGGCTGTAGTAATTAGTGAGAACTTCACGTTCCTTCTGAGCGTCTTGCCGACGCTACTGAGTTCGCATCACAGACCATCCATCTGCCAGTCGAAATTTTTTTGATAATTTTTAAAATTTGAATTTATGATTACGTATTTTTTTCAATTAATTGCAATGGAATGGCAACTGTAAGGAATTGGAATATATAAACAATAAAAAAATTAAATAGTTTTAATTGAAGACTGTATTTAAAAATAAATAAATTATATAGTAATTATAATTTATGCTCTTCTAGTTTTTCATCACATCATCACAAACAAGCTTTCTAACGTGTAATGCAACTATCGATTTACACTAGGAATTGAAATTTGTTCCCAAATCCCTCCCATTTTTGTTTGTCATTCCCGATTTCTTTCCAAATCCCCATTTATAACAACGATCTCTAAAAATTCCATTTCCCATTTTTTTAAACTCATTCTCAACTTTTCCCTTTTATTTCCCATTTCTCCTATTTGACATGTTCTTGAACACCAAAAACAAAATAAAAAAAAAACAAATTATAAGAATGTGGATTTAGTACCAAACAAAATAAAAATCCAAAAACTTGAATTTAATTTTAAATTTGGTCATAAGTTATTTTTCATTTTTTTTCCATTCATTTCCACTCAATCTCCGAGAGTAATTCTCTATTCCTTGAAATTCCCATTCTCAAAAATTAGGTTTTGCCAATCCCCAATGGAATCCCATGGGATTTCCGAAATTCCCGTTCCCATGCTCACCTCTGATTCAAATATACATCCGTTCAATTTTGAATATATATTTATATATACAAATGTTCATAAGCAGGGATAATTTGTGTTGGTGTGTGTGTGTCCTTGGTGTGGTATGTGTATGTGTTTGTGTGTGTTTGTGTGTGTATGTGTGCATCTGGCATGTGTGTATGCGTGTGTGTAATGTATGTGTTGTGTATGTGTTTGTGTGGTTTGTATGTGCTGTGTATGTGCATGTGTGTATGTAGTTTTTGTGCCATCTTAGTAAATTATAATTGTTAAAACAAAGCAGAAGTAGGACCAAACGAAGTAAATTTTTTGAACGAGGAGCATTGGAGCATGACTTGAATACTTGTCTGACTGCTGATGCATAAACCGATGATGATTACGTTATTTGATGAAGATGACGATGACGACGACGATGAGGATGACGATGATGATGACGATGATGATGATGATGACCCATATACAAATTTCCAAACTTACCCTGATGATGATCTCATTATTTAGTGATATTTAATGATGTTGGTTAGATTGATGTGATGATGATATAGGCAAGATAAGGATTAATAATGATGACGTTTCAAAAAATGATACGGACTCTAAATTTGAATTCCAATATATTTCAAATGACCATCTTAAAATAGGATCTTCACAGTTGCCATTTTTATCACTGACGTTATAATGTTCATCATTTTTAATCTTTCTATCATTTTTGATAAACTTATCCGACTCAAGGTGTCACTGGATTGTTAACTTTTTTGACCACTTCAACATAAATGTTCGTGTTCGCAGTTAGTTATGTTTACCTTCGTTTGCATTGTTTGCAATTTAAAAAGTTGTGTATTCTTTGAAAATGTATCACTAAATTGTGCACTTGTGTGAGTTATTTTTTAAAAAACCGCTTCCAAAGTAATGGTCCAAAGAAAGCTGACAAAATACTTTAAATTTTTAAACCAATGATAAAAAATCTTGTGCCATATATTTGCAAGTCTTAAAATCAAATTGATCAAGAACTTACAATCACACACAAACAACACACAACCACACACAATCACACACAAACATATACAGACACACACAAACATTTCGTCCTCATAATGTAAAAACTCATATAAGTATCTCGAATTCTATATATAGTATATTTGTATATTTTTTCAAATGTACAATTGTTTTTGTATGCGTATGTTTTGTATAACCTGCCGGCTGATGAAGTTGACATGGAAAGGCGCGTGTCTCCACCAACAGTCAGATTAACTTTAAACCACTGTTATAATTATGCAACACACCACACGCACGCACACACACACACACACACACACATATATATATAATACACATGTATATGTAAGTTTTTGTATGTGTATACATAAGGCACCCACCTACATATAAACTCATATACTTTTCACAGAAGTCTTCAAGAGATTAACCTTCCTCTTAATCTGCTTTTGACTTTTTAAATCGTAAATTGGTCTTCGCTTGTTCGTCTTATATAACGGTAAAATGTAGTAGTAATAGTATGTATTTGTAGTAGTGTTATTGTTATTATTATTATTACTATTGGTAGTAGTAGTATTGGTAGTAGTAGTAGTATTGGTAGTAGTAGTAGTAGTAGTAGTAGTTGTTGTAGTAGTAGTAGCAGTAGTAGTAGTAGTAATAGTAGTAGTAGAAGTAAGAAGAGAAGTAATATTTTCACCAAGAGTAGGCTTAGTTCAATTTCTAGCAGCAGATATATTAACATAACTTATTGTAATTGTAAAAGCAGTAGCTGTTATATTTGTACTATTTATAGTTGTTGTGGCTGTTGTTGTTGTTGTTGTGGCAGTTGTAGTTTGTGTGGCAGTTGTAGTTTGTGTGGCTGTTGTCGTTGTGTAACCAAAGTAGAATTTGTTTTAGACGCAAGTAGTAGCTGTGCTGGTAAAACTATCGCTATTAGTAGATATTACTAATAGCGATAGTAAATAAATAAAAAAAATATTATGAGTAATGAATGTAGCTACTGTGGTCTTAGTAAATATCACTACCACTAATAATACTAGAGTTTGTACTACTACTACTATGATGAGAAGAGAGAAAAAGAGTATACAAAATTTCATCCCAGCAACAAAAGGAAACCTTACTTTATTGAAATGCGAAATGCCCGAATAACGATGCAAGGAAGAACCGGGCCTGCGATGTGAGGCAAGCACGATGGCGGTCCTATTAATTAATGAAGGATGCCACATTTTGTATTTTATTTGAAGTTTGTAATGAGCACATGTTTTATTCATTCAAATGTTAGCGTGTTAGCATTTAGCCGCAGTTTAAAGTTAAATGAACGTACGTTCTAGATGAAAGTGAGCCGCAAAACCATGGGCTAGTGAGTGAGTGAGTGAGTGATTGAGTGAGTTGGTGAGTGAGTGAGTGAGTGAGTGAGTGAGTGAGTGAGTGAGTGAGTGAGTGAGTGAGTGTACGTAAAAGGAGAAGTGCAGTGTGGCTATGTTGACCAATTAGAATCCATAAAAGATATTCCTTGAAATTCCTCCAACGATCGTCCATCATATTCAACTAAATAGCAGAAGCAACATCATCCATGTATTGCATGTGGTTGCATGTGGCACATTCATAAATGTGCAACCATGTATATGTATGTATGCAAATCTATACACATATATTGTATATATATAAACATTTATACGATATACATACAAACACACATATATACTAATTTTAAATTATTTTAAAGGTTTATGATAAAAAGAAGGTTTTTAAAATTTAAAATTAAAATATTAAATGGTAGCATGATGATGTATGCAAAGGTATGTGCACACATGAACACAATAATTTACGTACACAAAACACATACAAACATGAATGAACATATACAAGTACACATATACACAAGTACTTTTGCAAACAGATAAGCATATACACTGACACACACAAAATTCACTATTAATACTAAAACAAAATAGTGATATATGTGCATGCATGCATACACACACACACACACACAAACACGTACACACATGCACAAACACACACACGCACACGCACGCACAAGAAAAGGATGCATGGGTGTGTGTACGCGTGTCATGTTATTTCATAATCGGATGATGTTTGTTTGTTTGTGCACGCACGCACATACACGTGATAATGATGTATAAATAGTCTGTATTGGTGAGTTCTATGGATAATAGAGGACAATGAAGAAGATGATGATGACGACGATGATGATGGCTGTGGTGGTGGTTATGATGATAACGATGATTATGACAATTTTAACAATGATAATATGCTAAAAATAGCAAAAATCAGAACTATAATGGTAAAAGTGTCAATGATGATGAGGAACACATCACCAATGGTGATAACGTGACTGATAATGATGGTGGGGATGAGTACAGTATTAAAAATGATGATGACGAATCATGAAATTCAAGTTCATTCGATCCAACGATAACGATAAGGATTGTGATTAGTATGACGACGATGAAGTGATGAGAAATGATGCTAATGTGATGTTATTTTCTTGTAAATATCAATCCAAATTTAAAATTTAACATTTTTCATTTCATCAAATCGAATAAAAAAAATAGAATCAATGAAATGAAATGATTTGAAAACCAAAAAGAATTGTTCATGTAAAGGTCACCAGTAACTTATTTAATAACAACATAATCATATCTAACAATGACTAGCCACAGTAATATCAAATTCAATCCATTAAACATCTCACCAAGCAATTAATTACGTTATATTTTCCATCTATTTTCTCCTTCATTATATTTTTCATTTTGCATGTTGCAACAGATCCCAGCATTTGCAAAAGTCTGTCTGTCATTTTGAAAAAAAAGTGCAAGTTACATCGCAGTGGCCACTGTTTCCAGGTTTTGTTTGCTCAGCCACAACAATCTTATGCAAGGTCAAGCGCCATGTCTCGTCTGTCTCGTCTGTCTGTCTGTCTGTCTGTCTGGTCAGTTGGGTGGGTTTGGTCATTTGCTCCTTATTATCTTCTTCTTATTAATAAAGTGGATAATGCTCTGGTCTGTTTGTTTAGTAGGCTTGGTGGTGTGTCCATGTTTATCTGGTATGTCAAATCAAAGTTTTATAAATTATTTGTCTCTAATAAATTTGTAAATAAATTATTAAATAATTAATTAACTACATATATGATTATTTTATCATATTTTGTTTAATATTGTCCGTATTGAGCAATTCACATAAATGAATAATGAAATAAAAATCTAACAAACTGCACAAAAACATGCACACACTCATTCAAAATTCACTCACACATGCACAAATATACATACATACACACATATACACTTACACATTTTCACTCATACACGCATACATAAATACACACACACCCACACACACAGACTCACACAGACACACATACAAACACACAGACACACTTGCATTCATCAACAGGCAGCAATAGTGCACGTACGTTAGTAAGACGCCACGCAGAGATGAAAAACTTGCTGAATCGCTCACAAAACATCACATCCTTCCATCTTACGCAATGAACAAATCAGCATTCTACTGTACGTAGATACATTTGTAAATTTACGTAATATTTGTTCACGTTATGACGTGCGTGCGTATGTGCGTGCGTGCGTCTTTATTACCAAGTGTATGTATAATTGTGTAAATCTATACAATGTTTGTGTAGACACATTTGAATGTGAGTCTGATTATGAACGCAAATTTTTTTTTAATTTTTAACTCAACTCATTGTCGCAAAAAAGTAGATCAAAGTGAACGTTACTTTAATGTTTTTAAAGTAGTTGTTTCACACTGAAACCTGGTTGTAACGGTTATTATGTGAAGAATGACTTAATGATGATGATGCGATTATTAAGGCACGCATGCACGCACGCACGCACACACACACATACTTAAGGTACACACAAGCAATGTTAATTGACTGGATTTATTGAAAGTGTTAGTATGCAAATGGATGTGTTGTTATGAAAGGACATTGATGATTTATTTCAAATAATTTACTGTTTACTTTTTTTTAATTAAAATAATAATTCAACTTTCAAAAATTTCTTCATCCAATAAGAAAGTGCCTGGACAAAATCTATGTGCATGCGAGCGTTCTCATTGGCTGAGACATTTAAATGACGTTTCATCTGACCAATGAGAGAGCAGTCATTGTTTTGCAGTTTATAAATAAGCTCAATAGTGTTGGAAAAGTTTGAAAAAAATTAAATGGATGAAATATTTTATTTTTTATATTTGTAGACAGAATTTAAATTATTAATTAACCTGTTGAACTCATGATTCGAAGGTTAGATGACCTTTAGTTTGTTTTTATTTAAAGTAAATATTTAGTTCTTAAACCTTTTTCACAATTAAGAAATAACCAAAGTGAAACATTTTGAAAAGTCTTTGCTTTTTATCTGATGTGATGCTTTGTGTCAAGTTTGGATGAAATCAGTGACTATTTTCAATATATTCATTAAATATTATTTCATAATTTATTATTTTTTATCTTCCAATAAAACGTTTTTGTACGAAATTACAACAAATTAAATTCAACCACTTATATATAAAAAAAAAGTATTTCCCTTGCAATCTGTTACAAAAATTGAACTATCCACTCAACATGAAGTTGTGAAAATTTATTTAACAAGTAAATTGGTCGACACTGAGGTGGCTAACTTGTTGACGTTAAAAAATATACAGACTATGGTATTTTTTATTAAAAAAAAGATGGTTTTGTCTAGAAAAGTTGAATTTAAATTTTCAACATCACTAACGAATAAGACGGTTATGATGGGAAGTATAACTTAATGATGATGATGATGGTGGTAATGATGATGTTTATGATGGAATGATGATGATGATAATGATGATGATGATGATGGCGATGAAGTTGTTGTTGATAATAATGGTTAGAATGATGATGTATTTGTGGATTGCCTAATCAAAACGCAATGATTATATACACGTGATTGCTCTTCCTTGTTAGTTTCATTCATCCTTGGCTTTTTTCATTCATTCATTCATTCATTCATTCATTCATTCATTCATTCATTCATTCATTCATTCATTCATTCATTCATTCATTCATTCATTCATTCATTCATTCACTCATTCATTCACTCATTCATTCACTCACTCACTCACACATTCATTCATTCATTTATATTTTCTTCATTCATTCATTCATTTATATATTCTTCATTCATTTACTTATTTTGTTTTTTATTCATTTATTCATTCTTTCAGTCACTCTTCATATTTTTCCATTCAATAGCCATTCGATGCATTGAATGCGTTGCAGCGTGTCAGATTGTGACCACTGGCTACCTGTGCTTCCCTCAAGAAATGGACTCGCCCACAATTTATTTTGCATTTTTATTCTTCTCGTTCACTAACTGGTTGTGGTATGGCAGGTGTGGTATGCTTTGGTCGCATAATCAATCGTAACTTTGAATAACAACAATGTTATAAAAACATTGACTGTAACACACTTTTACTTTCAATTTATTTCAACTGGTTATCAATCTTTTTAGTATAGAATTTTGACAGCTAGTTTAGTTATAAAGGTTGAAATAATTTAAGTTTGATTTGATTGATTCTAGCATGTCTTTGTATGCTGCTTCGTTGCAAGTCTCATCTTTTCATCGATGCCAACGTTTTAAATAACTTTGTATGGTTAGGAGAAACAATTGCAAGCATCATAAATTTGATACTTCGTCGTTCAACTACTTTGAAGCATTAAGATAATATCTAAAATCAAATAAACATTATTTGACATTGATAACTCAAAAATGCCAAACATTAACAACTCTGAACATGGCGAACATTCACACATAGTGAACATTCACACATAGTGAACATTCATACATAGTGAACATGATAAACAAGAGGAAATAATTATATTGTTATTAATATGAACAACAAACAAACAAAAAACCTCCATGAAAGAATACATCAGTTCAAACAATCACTACGCCAAAATACAATATGTAAGTTTTTTTATTCCATTCTGTAAATCAAACTCTGCCAGAAGCAGAGAAATTAACAACGTTCAAGATGTAAAACGATGAAAATAAAGTTAAGGATATTGATCGGATGAGATGCTTTTAGTGGGAGTAAGATGAAATAATATGAAAAAAATATTGCTGAAGACCTGTAGAAAAACTGAAACTGTAAAATAAATATGAATGGTATTGCAGTAATAATTCTGCATTCATACTAGCATATATTGATATCAAGGGCGAATGTACATTCAACTCAAATACACACGACTTTAAGGACAAAAGATTGCGATAGGCAAGCGGACATTCAAACAGTCAATAAAAACCACAACTCAACAAGCAACACAACAAACAACAACTTTACGCAACCATAAACAACAATGACGACGACACAACATCACATGGACATCCGTTGTGTGGTCATTAATTGAAGACACTCATGTCTGGAAGACTTGTTAAATGATGCTTCAAACGGATGTTGTGGCTGCTGTTGCTGCTGTTGTTGTTGTTGTGGTTGTCGTTGCTGTTAATGCATTTCATTTATTTTTTTGTTGTTTTTGTTGCGACACAATGTGATGTTGTTTATAAAGTCGTTTCGGCATTGTTGTTGCTGTTGATGTTTTTTAAAACTTCAGTTTAATTTAAAACATTTATATAATGTGCGAGAAACATCAATAATAACAATGAACGATATTTCAATTTTCCGCAAAGTTGAGCGATGCCAGAGCTAACAATGAAAGATATCTCAAACAGTAACAGCGAATTAGTACACACTTTGGCGACTAACAACCTCAGCAACAACAACAACGTTTTTGACCAACAACATCCATTATTATCACAACAACAACATCAACAACAACATCAGCATCATCAACAACAACATCAACATCATCAACAACAACATCAACAATGTCACCACAAACAGACGAGATTGGATAGAAGAGGAATAGTGAAAAATAGTGAACCGTACAGTTGCAGCAGAATTCTAATGGAGGGATCTGAAGATAAAAAACATTCGAACCGCGACGAAAATATCGTTGCAACTGACAACACTAACATTAACATCAGCAGCAACAATAACAATTGCAACGGCAATGACGTTAACACAAACTTGCAAATCAGTTTGGACTTCAACGACAACAACAGCAACAACAACAACAGCAGCAGCAGCAACAACAACAACAACAGAAATGATATCAGTAGCAACAAAAACATTGACTTTTGCAGTACCGACTGTAGCAAAAATAAACGTAACGATGCGAATGATTCCGCATTCAAAAGAAACAAAAAACGCGCGTATAATGATGACGATGACGACGATGATGATGACGTCGATGATGATGGCGATGATGAAGAAAAGGAAGACTACAGTGGTGGTGATGACGATGATGATGACGATGACGTAAAACTAAAAGTCAAAATTGAGAGGTGTGCAGGTTGTGGGGAGAAAATAACTGATAGGTAAGTGTGTTGCTAGTCATCGTCATCATCATCCTCATCGTTATCATCATCATCACCCATGACATTATTGGTGTCATTGTTATTTTAAGGTCCACTTTTCTCATCGTCATCATCATCACTTATCGTCATTATCATCATCGTCGTCATCTTCGTCGTCTGCAACTTTAGCATCATCATCGTTGAACTCGTTTATAGTCATATTCATCATCACCACTGTCGCCATCATTCCATTCACTATCATATTTTTGTATTTCAATGATAATGTTGTTTATGAATAATTGTAGATAGGTTTACAAGCATGAACATGTTAATGAAATAAATAATAGAATGTTGTACATACATTTTTTTTCAACGCCTGCTTATCTTCGAGTTATAATAATAAATTTTTAAGCCAAATCATTAACGACACCATAACAACAGTAGCGTAACATCAACAATATTTACGATTAACATCATCTTCCTGTCATGTAACCTTCAACAAGATTCTATCGCAACATCAGTCTATCATAAAATCGAAACAATATTCTGCAAATATTATTATCATCAACAAACATGACAACATTACAATATCAGTACTGTCATCAATAACATCACAATAATGTTTAAATAACGTCAATAGCACCAGCACATGACATCAACATCATCACGTGACATCAATAACATAACATGACATCAACATCATCACATGGCATCAACATCATCACATGACATCAAAAACATCACATGACTTCAACTCAACACACGACATCACATGACATCAACATCATCACATGACATCAACACCATCACGTGACATCAACACCATCACGTGACATCAACAACACCACATGACATCAACTCATCACATGACATCTGCACCATTATATGACATCAACACTACCATCATCATTCGCTGACATCAGCACCATGCTTCCATCATTTGAGCAGGTATCTCTTATCAGTGGTGAATAAACAATGGCATCTCACGTGCCTCGTCTGCTCCGCCTGCAAACTTCCGCTCAACCCGGAAGTCACGTGTTACGCTAAAGATGACGAAATATACTGCAAAGATGATTATTATAGGTATACAACATTTTTTTATTTTTTCCACGAGAATAAATGCTTTGGCATTAGAAGTTTGAAAAAATTGCATATCACTAAGAAAATTATATTTATAAGCTCAAATTTTGAAACAAATGAGTTTTAAAAACGACGAGAATGTAATGGAAAGTTTTGCTTGCAGACGATTTGCTCCGAAGACATGTTCTTGCTGCCAGTCAAACATTTCATCAGACCAACTCGTCATGAGAGTTCGCGATCGAATCTATCATCTCCACTGCTTCGTATGTTCTGTCTGCTCCAAACAACTGACCACAGGCGAACCATTCGGCTACAACAGTGACGACAACTCACTTTTCTGTAAGCTACACTACGAGACTTACCACGTGGCTTACTCCAGTTACGACGACGACAACCAGGATGGAATTGTAAATAGTGTTAACAACGTTGGTCCTCGCTTCTCACCGACACCAGCAGACCGCCATGCACCATCCAGCCCGATCTTGAGTGCAACCAATCTCCTGCACATGCAACACCACCCTCACACGAACGATCTACTTTCGTTGGATTACAACAACCAACACCGACACTTTCAGGCTCTGGCATTTGATAGGAGCATGTCTTCGATGTTTGGAGGGCCTCTCTGCTGTGAATCGGCCAACCCCAGTACGGGGGTCTGCTTTCTCCACACCCCAATCCCTCACCATCAACATTTGCTGGGCTCCATGGTCCACCATCAAACCGCTAACTTGCAAAAAGGAAGGCCAAGAAAACGAAAAAGTGTGATGACGGACGTGGAACATTTTGTGCCTAACTTGGGTCAGTTGCTGTTCAATCTACTTTTCAAATATCAATCTCTTTTTCAACGCGGTCTTAATAATTTTTTGTTTAATAAACTTTAAACTTTATGAAAACTGATGGAAATTAAATATTATTAAAAACCGGTGTTCAAGAATAACTTGATGTTGCATAATTATTGTAAACCGACATACAAAAATAATAAAACCAACAAATAAAAATGAGTGTAAAAAATGTTTGTAGCTAAATAGTAGAAAACATGTTTGATGAAGATGGCAACTGAATTTGATGTTTTTATGAAGATTGTTAAATAGGCACGTTCCAGCACTTCAGAAAGCAGCATGCTAAATATCAACAATTCAAAATACTATTTGGCATTTCATTTGATTATACGTGCAAGTAGGCAAACGACATGCACACATCACATCCCTGCATGTCTGTCTGCATATCTCTAAAGCTACATATTTCTACTCAATCATAATGACAATAGAAATGAATGTTGTTTTGCCAAGTCGGAATGAATGACCAGGTGGTTTGTGTTATAAACATTATTTTCTTTTCAAAAACTGTTTTTGCTTAGAATACGAATAACATGCAAGAAATCATTATAAATAGACAATCGCCTTCTTCCAAACTCATATTTTAACTGAACAGTAAACAAAAATTAAACTAATCCAGCTATTTGTAGAGGAGTTAGAGCATGGTAGAAATAGAAAGACACAACATTATACGATACATTATTATCGTAACTGTTTTTATTTGTTTTTATAGTTTTAGAAGTAGTTTAATAATCAATTTGATGAAAAATTTTGATGAAAAAGTTCAATATAAAATTATTTCGAAGTTTGCGTTTGAAGGAGCACTAGGAGTTTGTTGCAAGGAACGAATGTGTGTTCCTAATTGGCCGCATTATACGATGGCATTTCATCATCAACATGGTGGGGATGCTACTGCTGCCGATGTTGTTGTTGTTGCCATTGTTGTTTGTTGTTGTTTTAGTTTTAAATCCTACTGCACGGTTGTAATGTTATCATAAATACAACGTACGACTTTTCTGTTATCCCCATATCGTGACGATGCCGCTTGCATAATGAAGCAGCAACAGTGTCATGATGGTATAATAATGATGTCAAGATAATGTAAGAATGAGATCATATTTTATAAACACAAAAAATAATACAAATAGGCTTATGCTCATATACAAACATGAACAGAAACATGCACACACACACATACACATATATATACAAATACACGTACATATATACATAGATACACACATACAAACACACAAACGTATATCGTGCTGGCGCTCTTGACAGCAAGGCAAGAACTATATGCAGTTGTTCAAATGTTGCAACATCACCTCCTTTAACACATCACGTCTAGCAACATCATCGTCTCATCATCTCATTACCATCATCATCGTTGTCATTTTAACGTCAGTGCGTGATGTTGAAAATGTCTCACAACAAGACAGTCGCATAGACAACGAGATCACATCTTTAGCGACACACACACACTTCACTCTTATTTTGTTACCATTTGTTCTGCTGTTTCGCCACTCTTCTGATTGGTTGCATATTTTCAACCATGCAGTAATTTTATTTATTTCCAATTATTTTTTTTGTCAATTGTTCTTTAAAAATTTAAGAGGATACTTGTTGTTTGTTGAACAGTTTGCTTATGGAAAGTTTTGTTGCTTAGCTTTATTTTGCTATCTTCTAGCTACACACATACACAAAACGTCAATCCACCCGCACCCAGCATACACATGCACATAAACACTCACCTACACACACATACACACACACACATACATATATATATATACACATACATATATATACATATATATATATTATATGTATATATATACAATTATTCATAAAGATCACTGCGTTTTCGGCGTTATTCAACTTGTAGTTGAGTTTCTCAATTTTTCAAACGAGACTTTTTTCCTCTTGATGAAGTTTTTATTAAGGTTAAATAAAAAGTTTTAATATTCAACATTTTTAACAAAACATCGATGAAAATTGATTCTGCTATCTTCAATTTGAAGTATTCTCTGTTGTAATAAATTGCTTTGGTGTTATTGTCTAAAATTTACCTTGTTATAATAGTAGTATAAACGTAAACCAGCAATAAATATTCAACTAAATAATACTAATATTCTTCCAACAAAGAAACACAAGATTAACTTTAATTCTATTTAAGTTACAATCAAAGTCGCTGTAAAAACAAAGACACAAAGACGGAACAATACTATATAACTACACTGATGATAGCAGTCGATGCCGAAAAGAGCTTTTCTGTAGTAATAACGTTATTAATGATGTTTTGTCAAAAATGTCAAATATTAAAAGTTTTTCATTTAACCTTAATAAACTTCATCAAGATGATGAAAGTCTCGTTAGAAAAATTGAGAAACTCAACTACAAGTTGAATAATGCCGAAAACGCAGTGGTCTTTATAAATAATTGTATTTATGATAGTCTAAACCAAATATATATATATATATATATATATATATATATATATATATATATATATATATATATCATACATACATACATACACACACACGCATACACATGAATCGTGCAAAATCTCATACGGTGTTTTTAATTTTTGTCTATCGCCACGTGCGTATGTGCGATGTTATCATTCGCTGCTTTCTCATTCGTATGTGAGCGAGGTTGTAGGCAAGGTTTGTAATGCGTACATAAATATGTTAGCGAGACTACTACTTATAAGCAGTCATAAAAGATTTAACGATGTGAGACTGAGTCGCCTTGCATTTTAAATGAACTTTCCAACTCCGACCGCTGATCGACTACTTCGCTAGTGTTGCCGTTGTTGTTGGTGGTGTAATTGCTGTTTTCGTTACTGTATTTAGTTTTGTTGACGTTGTTTTTAACTGAGATGTCTTTATGCTATTCTTTTGGATACTTTTTCAAGTTGCGTTGTTAACTACCTTTGTCGCTTGCTGCTATATAGCTTTCGTTACATTCTTTATTTATTACCCACTTCATCATTCGTGCGTTAACAAATGCCTCGTTCGCTCTTTAAATAAATTTTGAATTCGGCTAAAGAAGTTGGGAAAATTTTTATATGAAAATAGGATGAAATATTTGCTCTAAAATGACGAAAAACTGGATACGATGCGATGATGTTATTGATAATGATTTTATGTACTGACAAGCAATTCGTTAGTTTAGCGAGCAGGTGTTTATCAAGTGTTATAACGCAAAATGAACTAAAAAAAAGTAACATAGCAAAAATGTTTCACTTTTTTTTCACACTATCTCTTAATAAAAAATGCAAATGCAATATTAATAGCAGCAATGCAAGAATCGACGAAGCAAACTGTTTTAAAGGCTGCAAGTTTTGCATATAAGACAAATAACATTATTGATTTGTATAGGAAAAACCATTTAAAAATTAAATTAAAAACTTCTCAAATATTGAAGGATCAGAAATGAACCAAGATGAAGCCATGTTGCAGCACCAACGACAAAAGAGGATGAGAACATCTTTCAAGCACCACCAGCTGAGAATCATGAAGTCTTATTTCTCCCTCAATCACAACCCTGATTCCAAAGATCTCAAACAGCTAGCACAAAAAACTGGTCTCAGCAAGAGAGTTTTACAAGTTTGTTCATCAATGTTTTTCACTTCAAAAATTATTTTTTCTTGGTCGCCGACGTAGGAACTGAAACATTTGATGCTGCTGAACAAGATATCAATTTAAAAAACAATTTTTAATTAACAAAGGTTTGGTTTCAAAACGCCAGAGCCAAACACAGACGAACAGCGATCAAGGACCGCGACAAACAATCGTCAACAACAGCAGCGCATCAACAACAATCGCAACAAAACGAATCAAAAAGTGATAAAAGTTTGTTGAACGATTCAATAGATGGCGTGTCACTGCTGACTCCAACATCTCACCACCACCAACAATCACGATCGCCCAGTTTGACACAATCCGCTGCAGACATCAGACAGCAAGGCACAAATATGAACATGGCCTTTGCCAGTGGAGATTTGAATAAGTGTCAAAACATTTTCGGTCACGACCACTTCGCACCGGCAGAACAATCTCGTCAGTTTGAAAGCGGGTCACCCGGGGTCATGTCAGACGTCAGCAGTTCGTCGTTCATGGGATTCCGCTCGTCATTCCAACAGGAAAATGATTGCCAGGTATCTAATTTTGCAGACATCTTCTCGTCGTCGTTGAAGCAAATGGGGTCATGTTGAAGCCATGTAGCGGCGTTATAGCGGCGTTGTCGCAATCTTGTGCATTTAAAAATTGTTCTCACACTTAGCTTTCATTATGAGATTTTTCATATTTTTAATAAAAGATATTGTAATGATTTATTTTAAAGACAGCTCATTAAGACATCTATGTTCTTGATACTTTTTGAATTAATTAATGAAAAACATACGAAGTAAAATTGAATCTTGAATTGAGATTGCACATGTGCTGTGCTCATTAGAGATGTGCCAACGTTAATCTCGCTACCTACTTTACGACACGAGTCCAATATGCCGTAGAATTAATGTCAGATTATCATGTCGAGTGTCGCCTAATCAGTTCTAAACTCGTATTTGACTTTCTATGCGCATTTTTCATTAAAGCATGTTATTTCAATTATCTACAGAAAAACATAAGGATAATAACAATTTTTCATGAACAGAAACATAAAAAAATGGTGACCAACTTTAAACTAAGCAGTGAAAACATATAGGCGCTCACATGACGCCATGTCATCCTGAGTTATTTTAAAAAAACAAATTACACGAAACGACGAAAAAACAATGAACATAACAGAAAATATGTAATATACAGAAAAAAGGAACATGTTACAGACACTATACAGAAGAGAAAGACGTTGATGTAACAGTAGGTACCGTAACAGTAGGTAATAAAAATAGTAGTAAAACAGTAATAATAACGGATGAAAAACAAAAAAATGAATAAGTAGAAAACTAAACAACAAAGACGTGATTTAAAAAATCATCTGCCAAAAACTTCACTAAAAAATTTAACTATTCAAATGCGGTGAGGTGGCATTAGTCAGAAAATTATTAATTTCGAAATTGAACACAAGAGAACAAAAAAATGCGCATCAATAAAAGCAAAATAGTGCAATTCATAAATAAATACCTCAAATTTGGAAATGTACGATTTGATTTATAATGTAAACATAATAATACATTAAAATTTATAATCTATGACGCAGCATGAAGCATAGAGAGCAATAACAAGTTGAGACGTAACGAAAAACATCACAGAATCGAATTATCTTAATCAAAAGACTAGTTCAAACACGACACAACTTAACAAATGACTTACTTAACAGCCCGACTGATACGAACACTTCCAAACAAATATTACTTACAATGCCCATGAATGTACAGACCATTACACGTATGCGCTGCACACAGATTGATGTATTTTTTTACGTACTTATGCCATGAGATTAAATCTTAAGAAAGTCAAACATTGCAAATAAAAATCAGTTAATGTAAATCATTCAAAAATTCAAAACCAAATCACTTCAAACATTTTTAGATTATGCCCAACACCATAACTTCCATGAGACAGCAGCCACTAATTGTCACAGCAAACTCACACGCGAAGAATCGCTTGCCAGCATCAAGTTTCAAATCAGTCACAATAAACAGTGTGTTACCAGCATCAATTCCAACAGACTCTAGCACACGTTAACGTTCATTACATACAAAAAATATGGTCAGTATTTTGGATTGAGGAGTGCCGGGTAGGTAATAATGAAAATGATAAGAGGTAAAACAAATGCTCCCAAGTGACCATTTAATCTTCTTCACAAATAGAAAAACAGTAATACAACCTTCATAGACAAAGATAGAAAAACAGTAATACAACCTTCATAGACAAAGATAATCCATATTATGATAACAACTTAATTCATGAAAATACAAATTATAAAAATTATGAGATACGTAATTTTATTATTTTGATCACCTCTTGAGCAGAATAAACTATGTGTAATAAATATCACTACTATGGAAATAAAAAACGGTGAATTTTAAAACCCAAAACCCAAATACAAATATGATGAAACGTTGAAGCAGTGAGACAAAAGTTTTACAATTCATATCTTCTTGGTCCACTCAGCTTTGGACCTTTCTGCTTCTTTTTCTTCTCTTTTGCTATCACTTTTTTCATTTCCTTCAGTTCCATTTCCAGTTGTCTTTGTTTTTCCTTTTTTGCAAAAACAAAATTAAGCAGTTAAAAGAATGTCATCAATCAATATAATGCAAAATAACTACTTCAACATATTTTCTGCTATTTGGATTAACATACTCAGGATCTTTTTCAACTATTTCAAATTCTTGGGCCATCTGTTGAAAACAAAATAATTCAAAATAAACAGAATCTAATTAGAAAATCTGCAGATGATAAAAAGATTACAAACAATAAAACAAATATTAAATTGTTAAATAAATGTTACCAAATGCAATATCTTATCATCAACTCCAATGAAAGCATTGGAATCATTGCTGAATCCGACAGCATACTGTACTAGGATTTTCCATTCAGGAAATTTGGTAATCGTTTCATGGACCAGATCAGGCATATGAAGAACAAGTTTGCCAAGAAAGTATGTATTTTCAAGAACTAATGAAAACACTGCAAAATTTATAATTTACTTTTGGATAATCACAAACTATTTTAAATCATATTGAGCTTATTAATTAGGTTTTAATTTGCTTGAAAACACTTTTATATTGTGTATAACTGAAACCAAAACTGAATTATTGAAAAATCTCACCTTCTTTTATATTATCATCAGAAGGAAATGGATCACCAGGTGCAATGCCTAACTCTGTGAGTCGTACTTTTGCTTCTGAAAAAAACTGAAAAAATGCAAATATTTTATTAAAAATGAATGTTTATAAAAACTCAAAAAATATATAAAAATGTTTCAAACAAAAAAAAATAATTCACTAATTTTATCATTTATGAAAGAGGCAAAAAACACATATGAAAAAATAACCTTTAAAATCTTTTCTACAAGAATTCCAACAACTTTTCGCTGCTTTTCAAAACTAGATTTTAATACAGTAGATAAGGCTTGAGTGATCACTTTTAATTTTTCTTTCAGTAACTTTCTATCTGTCATGCATGACAATTTGATTTTTAAAATAAAATGAAGATTTTCAGCAGTCATACTAATCAATTTGTTGAAGGAGAGTGGATTAATATCTATAATTTTATTTTATTAATTAAAAAATAATAAAGACAGAAAAGATAAAAAAAAACTTTAAAAAAGGAAAATTAATTAAATTAATAATTGAACAGCAAACAGAAATCAAGCAGAGGTTCTGAAATGGACGAAGCTAATGAAGAAAATAATAAAATAAAAGCGACCAACAAGTTTTAAGAGCAACATCTGGATGAATTGATGAGGCAGCATTTTTCTCTGCATGCTCCCCTGCTGCATCAGCGTTAGTAAAAGAAACGACGGCCACAAGCAGTAGTAAGGCAAATAAGTGAGCAAATCGCAAATTTTTGTACAATATATTAAAATAAACGTTCATTTTAATCACTACTTTATCAGTAACAACCACCGTGAGTCACTGAACTTTGAATTTACACTTGCATATCAAGATACATGTTTTAAACTCAAAATTTATTTAAAAGTAAAATTCAATGGTTATAACACGTCGTTTTTAGAAATTGTCTAGCACTGAACAACTCAAACAATTCGAATTAATTTCAGCCCATAAGTTAATACAATAAACATATACCCCGTGATATTAAATATTAAACTTGTGTTATTGCCCCATACCTCCTGCAAACTCCTCATTATAAACTTTGCAGAAAAAAGAACAACAATGAGGTGACGCACATATCAGAACTAGTGCAAGGACATTTGAGCAGTTTTGGTTCAGATGACAAGAGACATCTTAAAGAACATTCTACCGTTGGCTCTCCCAGATCAAGCTTTACGCCAAGTGATTCACTTTGGTTACGTGTAATTATATTATATTATACATTTGTGTGTAATTGAATCTCGGCCTATGAATTCAATCATTTGACAAAATACACGATGCGTTTTTCGAAAAAATATTGAACGAAAAAACTTATTTTCAATTAGATGAATTGGTTGCAATGAAGAAATAAGTATGAATTTAATTTGAACGTATTTATTAACAGATAGTTTAAAATATAAGATGGTGAGTCTAACCAAAAAAAACTAAAATACAGTCAACAAAGCAAATATTCCATAGACAAGTGCACAAGGATAAGCCACGAGAAACTGTTGATGGTCCATTGACAATGCGCTGACGAAAAGTTTGGAAGCCGACACACTGCACCACAAAACTGCAACAACTGTCATGACCGTTCCAGCTAGTCCTCTGAAAAAATGTTCAAGTAAAATAATCATACTTTGGTGAAATAAATGCAAACACTTTAACCGAAAAAATTATTTTTCTGAGAAGGCAATTAATGGAATAGCATAACATAAAAGCCAAAACTCAAGCAATTAACAAATCGAAAAAACTAACTGCAACGAAATCCAAACAGCAATAAATGATAAAATGACCATGGGGAGGAGACAGTAGCCAAGTACACTGACGATGCAGCTAACAGACACACTTGACAGACTCATAAGATTAAGCAGGGCGTACATGGCCAGACAGCCAACTACTCCAATCCCGTATATGTAACCAAAGTGTACCTTACCAGCCTATTTGGTAAACATTAACGTCATCGAACAATTAAAACTTGTACATTATTAAATGTTCCTACCATTGTGATCATACCTACCACCAAATAAGTTCATAATAGTATAGAAGTTAAGGGCTACCTTTGCAGTAAATAAAAAATGTTTAATCCCAAATTTGTCACACAAAAAAAATCAACAAAGAGATATTTAAAATTGACAAAAATGTGAACAAAACTCCAAATTATTGCGGTGTATAAATTAAAACTGAACAATGACATCCCATCTTATTTCATTAAATTTCTTAATCATAATTTCACTGCCCACAGAACAATGCTGAAGACATTTACCTGAGGCAATATCGCAAAAAATAGCATGCAACTCGAAAATGCACATAATGATGATGCACGAGTTTTTGAATGGAAAGAAATACGTACCAGTAGAAGAGTTGCTCCAAGAGCCAGACAGAAGACCAGAGGGCCAGCCAGGTCAGTGTCCTGCATGATTGTTGCATCCGGCTGCTTCAGAGGATTCAATACTGATAAGGTCTGCAAACAAATAGGATTGCTAGTTAATTCATTATATCTATTTTGAGTTTATAAATGTTAATTTCCTAATTTTTTATTATTATAACAACAAAAAACAGAAAAAAAATATGTCTACATTTTTTCCGTTAAAATGAAATAAAAAAAGGTTGAAAGAAACTTTTGTAAAAAAAAATAAATAAAATAAAATTAAACAAAATTTTGGTGAAATATTTTAAAACTCGCAAAACACAAAGGAATCAGGAGAGTGATTGAATATATTAATTAAGGAAGACATCTATGGATAAGAAATACAAGGCATGTTATAAAAAAAACATTTTGCAAACAAACATTCCATTCAAACAGCCTCTATCTTATTAAATGAAAAGAATCAAATAAAAACAAACATCATCAAAAAAAATCTAAGGCACCTTGTGACAAATATGCTCAAAATTGATTCCAAGCTCTGTAAATTAAAAAAAAAACAAATTTTATAATTCTATAAAAGAGTTTTATAATCAAAAATATAATCCCACATCTCCATGAATTTACGATTTCAAAGAATAACAGTTTAATTGTTTTGCGACTCAGCAACTCACATAGTTAAAGTTTACAAAAAAATCAATTAACATAATACAGCCTAATGTGTAACAGTCAACAAAATTATTGATGACCCAGATTGCATTTTGCCTTTAAAGAAAATCAACCCTATTTATTTTCAATTAAGAATCTTAACTATTGCTAACCACACACACACACACACACTCGCACTCACACACATGCAGGTATACACTGATAAGAATTTGATGCCATGGTCATTATAATCAGGAAAATACATTGAATGGAAATTTATCAACAATTCCATTATTACATTTTTAAAACAAAAAAAGCTGTAATCAACCAATCAATCCTCGTTTATAGTCTCCATCCATTTTGGGTTGGACTAAAACAACAAAAAAAAGCTGTAAGTAAAGCCAAAAAGAAAACTGGTAACTGTTTTATTTTTGACCTTCCATGAGAGGCGGTTCGTCATCAAAATTGTCAGGAGATGTGCTGTATGGTACACTTTGATCAGGAGTAAGAATGGACCCCTTGTAAGTTGGCTGAGGTACACAATATGAACCTTGAATGGGGGCGTTGTATTCGAACGTTTGAAAACCCCTAGAAAAATTTAATAGGAATTTGCTGTCAGAACCATCTTAGGTAACGAATATTGTAAACAAGTAGTTAATTAGTTAAGTAATTGTAAATTGTATGTTGTTTTTTCTACATAAAAAACAAAACAATTATTGAATAATTGAATAAATAATCATTTGATAATTAATGATTAAAATTATTATAAAATCAACATGGATGCCAACGGGTCTGGAGGGAAGGAACCTCCCTGATCTGCAAAGTTCATGTCGTACGACTCTCCCACGTAGAAGTCGTTCTGCTGCTGTTGGCCGCTGTTCATATTAGTAGAGTTAGGAGGATGGGGGTAGTTGTAGGACATAATGACGTTTAATAATGTTGGCTGATGAGTTGATGACGATTTTGAGGTTGACGGCGATAACAGACAGCTGATTCACCGACTTCCCGGCAATAAATTATTAAATGCTAATTAGCCAACACAGCGGCAATAAAAACCAGGTCCCAATCGAGAAAATTCTAGCTAGCGCTGTTTACGTGGAGCGACTATTTTGACTTGACGTGTGTATAGATAGACTATTCACTATTCAAACTTTACCAAACCAATGGAAAACCAAATGAATATAATTATTATTGTTATGAAAAAAACGTGGGCGAAGACAAAAATGTCCCTACGATCGCGACACAAAATTAACTATAAAATTTTAACACATAAACAATGTACATGAATATATGTTAATATGTTCTGTTCATACATAAAGATCAAACAAAAATAAAAATATAAGTAAAAATGTAAGAGAATTATTTCTATTATTAATTCAACTACCTATATTTTATATATATGTATGCAAACATTTCTTCATAAAAATTCCAATTTCAACCAATCATATATATCGCCCTCTCTTAAAGACAATCATGTCAAAACAAATTGAATTGAATAAAATTATTTTGCTACATATTCAGTTATAAATTCTCATAGCACCATAGTAGCTGTTCCGACTTATTTTAAATATATAGTTCCTGCAATTTTTTAATTATGTATGATATACAGTTGACCTCATCATATGGCATGAGAATCATTCATGTTTGTATGGGGCAAGTTTGCGAGATCTTCTGCATGTATGACAAGGTAATTGCAGAAAATAATACAACAACAACACACGTTTAGACGACATTTTTCCCGAGATCGGGGGTTGCCATTTGGCTATCTACGATGAAACCGAATGTCATCATAAATATTTTATTTGCTAATTTTAACTCAAGACGCCCTTCCTTACGCAACCACAGTTAGCGGTGGGCCTAGCCTTTGATGCTCCAACATCACTCACAAGGCAGTGAGGGTCAGTTTAATGTCATAACCAAGACAGTATTGCAGAAAAAAAAAATAATAATAATTTCTATACTATTGATAAAATTCATTTTAATCGTGATGATTATGATTAATGACGAAAAAAAATTATATCACATCACCGTTACTATATTTGCTACTGTTATTATTTTTTTGTTATGGTTGTTGTCACTATTGTCATTGTTATTATGATATTAATATGGACTGCTGTATAACACTAATACGCCTACTCTTCAATTACGGATCATCCAACGTGAAGATGCGCGCAGATGATTGCTGATGGTGAGCCTCTGTAGAAATGTTGGATTCACATCTGTACTTGACATGCGGTGGTTTTGTGGTGTTTGGCTGGTAGGACATCACGATTTCTCGACGATGAATGCAAAGTTGAAAGACGTGACCAAAATTTTCGGTTTGAGTGTTGATTGTAGGCTTGTTTGTGTGTATGAGGAGGGCTTCTTTTATTTCGAGGGGTGAAGAATGAGGATCGTAGCAGAGTATGCTGGTGTTATTGTCTAGGATTGTTTTTGTGACTCGTGTGTCGTGTTGTTGTTTGTCAAAATGATCTTTGATAGCACCGTGTTGAACATGCATAGTTAAGCGTCTTCGAAGCGTTGTACATGTGTGTCCAATATATGTTTCCACATCACGGTGGGGTAAGGGGCGTCGAAATTGGTACACAACTTTTGTTTTATGTAGGGAATTAGATGTGGTCGCTGAACTGTTTTTATATAAGTATAGAGACATTATTAAATTAATGGAATACTAAAACCAAAAATATAATATATATTTTAAATATATGTTTAAGACTTTATTTTAATTATTTTTTATTTATATATTTTTTATATTTTTATTTTATATATATATATATATAAATATTTTTTATTTGAATGTGAAACAATTCGGTGTTCTGTGCAGCCAGAATTTAAAAAACAAATAACGTATATGAAACTAACCTGATAAAGATAAACTATTTAAAAATTAATTTTAGTTGATCAAGGCGAAAAAATAAAAGGGATCATGTGTTCGGAAGTTGGTGTCCTGGAAGGTTTCATATGTCCGATCTGTTTTCAGGACCTGGGTTCCTTGTACAACCTGACCGATCATTTTGAACTGACTCACAACTCAGAGGAGGACAAGGCTTTGCTGTTCCAGATTAAAGGTTTTCTTTTCTCTTTCTTTATTAACTTATTTAATTTTAAATTTAAATAAATTTTTGATTTAATTTTTAATGATTAAATATAAATTGTAAATCAATCAATCAATCTTACTCTTACTTATAATGAGTGACTTATTAATAAAGTCATAAAGTGCTATTTTAACAATGTTCAACAACACTCCATCATGAATTTTGCAAACAGATGGGTATTGAGATCCGCTTTGAACTTTGTAGGTGATGGTGATGGTGATGGAGAAGTAGTCAATCAGAGAAGGAGATAGAGAGTTCCAGAGAAAAGGGCCAAAAAAGCAAATGCAGATTTAGCAAAAGAGTGTTTAACACAATTTAAAAAGAAGTGAGAACAAGAAGATGATCGTAAACCGGTGTGTTTAGTTTCAATTAATATATCTGATAAGTACATAAGAAATAATTTAGATTGAGACTTATACATAAATGTGCAAATTTTAAAAATTATTCTATTAGGTAGCCAGTGCAAGAGAAGGAGATGTGAGAAAAGAAAGGAGTTATGAGCAACTAGACGAGTAGCAGAGTTAAAAGCTTTACTTAAAGGATAGAGTGTAAAATCAGGAAAACCATAGTAGAGCAAGTTACTAGGTGAGACTAAAGAAATAACAAGAAAGAAAAGAATGAGGTTGTCAAGAGAAGTCAAAAGTTTTTTTTATTCTACGTAGATGAAAGTAAGAACTTCTAGCAACACTATTAATCTAAGAAGAAAGAGACATGCTAGAATCAAAGATAAAGCCTAGACTATGAAACTTGTGAGAAACATCAAGAGTTTTAGAATCAGGTAAGATATTATGAATTATAAGATGTTATTAATCATGATCATGAATTAAAAATATTAAATAATTGATATAAAAAGAAATTAATTAACTGAAAACTAGCCACTAGTTATTTGCCTATGCGTCACCCTGCTTGATTACATAAGTACACAACTAGGCATAACATACATTTCAGTACTTAAAAATCCTTTAGTGCAATAATAAATATTAGTTTTTTTGGTCTTAGTAAGGTCAGAATTTGAAATAAATTTATAAATTGATTTTTTTTACGAAAGAAAGTATTTTGTTGTACTTGTCATTTCACTAAAATAAATTATTTCATTAGTTATTTGTTACATTTGTTCATTTTATTCTATCTTACATCATCTTCACTAATAATATAGTTTTCCTATTTTGTGTACAATGTCATATATTGTTGCATTTACAGGTATTTTTGGCAAAGCAAAAAAGAAACTTCTCAGAAAAGATGATTTTTTTGAGGCATCAAGTACTCCATCTACCACCTCTGTTGCTAAATCAACTTCAACATTGAAACATTTTAAAGAACAGCTAACATTTGAACCACAGCAATTAGGTTGTTTTACAATATTTTAAAATATAACATTTGAATTTTAAAAGTGTACTTCAAAAGCTGTACACATTTTTATGCTGTATTTATTATTCCATCTATTTAATATATTTATTCATTTATCGTTTGTTATTTTTTAATATACTGCTCTTGTTTTCTAGCAGAGCAACTTACAATTAAATTTTCATACTCTATACTTCATGTTACACTTCAGTACTGCAGAGTCAAGAATGTGCACTGTATGTGTAAGGACATGTTACATGCATGTTCTGTGCTTTTATGTGCAAACACTACGGCAAAGTGGTTGACAATCTTTATGCTTTGCTCAACCAACTCAGCAAAGCACTTCTTAAAACTGTGTTTATTGAGTTGAGGTTATGCTTATGTCTTCTGCCTTTATCCATTTCCATAAACTCCAGAGTTTCACTTTTTTGTGCACATCATCTTCAGGCTTTATTTTTATCTGCCATATTATTTTCATCTAATATTTTCAACTAAACGATTTCCCCATAGCCTCTTTTCTTTTTCTTCCTTACGAGACCCATTTGCAAATTTACTTTTCTTTATTTTTTGCAGCATAAACATTTCTCTCCCTTCCTGTCTTACTTCATTGACTTTCTGCAAGTATTACCCAACTTTTTTGTATCCATATATCATGTTTTATTCTTTTTCTGCAAACATTCCTCAAGTTTTCTATCTTTACATACATTGGGCATGTTATTGTTCATTTATTTTATATTTACCTCCATCCACTTAAGGTCAATAAAACATTTTCAAAGATAGAATTTGAGCTATTTTAAATGATTTTTTCATTTTTAAAATAAATGATTTTAAATTATTTAACTTTGGTCCATGAGATGATCAAAAAATGTTCACAATTAAATTTTTCTATGTTTTATTTATGTCTTTTACATTAAATGCAAATTGAAATTGAAGGAGTAACGAGGAGTCACACTGACTTTTTCAAGTCATCTAGGGATAGACGAATTGACAGGTTTGTCATTGAGACTAACAAAATATTGATAAGGTTGGATAAACTTCTCAATATTGACTCAAGTCTTGATTCAAGTAAACGAAAAAGTGAGTTGCTTTTTTTATATTTCATTAGATGTGCTCACAATTTTCTTCAAATTTACTTGTTGGTGTTGAAACTTACTACGGCTCTTTACATTCATGTTGGAATTAGTGGCTTGTTTTAACTAGATACTATAAAGTTGAAACAAAATTGGAAAACTTTTTTTCAAAATTAGATGTTATTGATGATTTATATTTTATTTTAAAATCTCGCAGAATCAAAAAGAAATATTTTTTTACAATATTTTGAAAATTTTTTAACTATTAACCCAAAAATTTTTATATTTTGACTCAAAGAATTGATGCTGCTTAATTATTTTAATCATCCAATTTGATTTAGAATTGTATTCATCTCTAATCGACATTTTTGCCAATTTGAATTTACTACTCCGACAGCTCAAGAGAAGGACATCGTGTCGTGGGCTTCTGATAAGGATGTCAACTTGTGCATGACGTGTGGCAGATCGTTCTTACTGACAAGAAGAAGACACCACTGCAGACTTTGTGGAAGAATCATTTGCCATAAATGTTCAAATTTTCTGCCTTATGATTTCGCTAGTTTGTATTATGAAGCTTTTTCATATAGATTCAATACTGTCAATCTTTCATTTTTTTATAATTTATTATGTTTAAATTGATGCAATCAGGAAAGATGACAAGTTCACCAGCTTCATACGAAGGTGAGGGCTTCCATAGATCAAGCAGTACCAGTTCATTGAACAGCACGGTGGGAGCAGAAGGGTATCTTCATCTGAGGACCTGCCAGGATTGCAGGTTCCTTCTGGAAAGGAGACAAGAACAAATCAACTTACAAACTTGCAAACCAAATGTTGTTCTCTTATATGAGGTTTACTGGTTTGCATTTATTTATGTTTTACGTAAAATTTATTTCCAATGTATTGTGTTTTTGTATAACTTGATATTTGTGATCATTTGCAGAAACTTCGAGAATTTATGTCAGAAGCTGAAAGTTTGTTGCCAGAATACTCAAAAATGGCTGATTCTTTGAGGTTCTTCATTTACGTTATGAAAAATAACATTAACTTTAACTAAACTCTGGACTGGAAATGTGTTATCATGGAAAGTACCAATGAGACCAATGTCTTGCTAAATGTCAATTGTTGAAAATTTCTAGCGAAAACTAGAAAAAAAGTTATTATTATATTTTGAGGGAATATTGGTTATTTTCATCACTCTATGCACAGGGTTTAAAAAATTGTCACTTGTTTAAATTAATTTTTTGATGTTTTTAATCGAATTTTTAGCAGTTTTTTGAAGGTGAAGACTTTTGAATTTATCTTGTTTTCATTCAATATTAAGTCAGGGAGAGTCAACATACGAATTACAAGATGCACAACACATAAAAGATAAATTGATGAAATGTTGTGAGTACATCACAGTTTACCTGTTAGTACATTTATTTTCCATTCTATTATTGTTTTTATAGAGAGCCAAGTTGTTCTTCTGCTGTCACTTTTTTATTTGTCCTTAATTGCTTACACGTTATTCTAAACTTATAATTCAACCATCGGACCACAAAGGTGTGATCATTACCCGTTTCAAACGTACATCATTTGCTTGCTTGATTGTTCCGTGTGTCTGAATCGAATGCGAACTGGTGTTAATTTCTTTCAACAAGTGTTTTAGAATATTTTTTAGTTTTTTCTTCTCACATATCCTTATTTTAAAGTTGGGTTTATTTTCGTTTTTTTTTTAGTTCCATTTGCTGTTTTTAGTCTCACGTAACCATTGCCTATCGCCCTGTTTTGGTATTTTTTCTATAGCAAAAGAAAAAAAGCTGAGTTTGTTGCTTTCAACTTGAGTATCTAATGCTACTAGACAATGAACCATCTAACTTTTTATTTTTATTCCCAATTAAAAGCAAAAAAATTATTTATAAAACCAGCAATAAATTTTGTATTCACTAGTAAACGTATTGTATCCGACAATACAAACAAAGATGCAAATTGTCAGTCAGACTCAACTTCGAAGCATGTTCGCCTTCAGCAGATGATCAGCGTTTATGCTACTTCATTTGTTCAAGACAATCTTCTTGGTCTACCGAAATTGCCAACAGAATCTGAACTTAAGAAATTGAGGGAAGCTCGTAAAGTTGAAGCTCAACGCCGCATCGCAGAGGAAAGGAAGATTGAACAAGAAAGAATGAAACGAATGGAAGAGGAGCGGATTCAGCAACAGCTCCGACGACTAAAACAGCAGCAAACGAGTAAAGATGAGATCACCTCCAAAGGGCACCGACGATCGAAATCTTCCGAAGGAGTTTCAGCCCTTCACGCTAACATGTTACAACTTTTTACTAAATTGATTTGTATTTTCATTAAATCAGTTCATAATGGGATTTTTTGATTTATCACATAGGACATCTCCCAATTCAAAACTCGTCTCTGGTTTGGTGTCAAATGTTGTTGATCGTAAAGAAAATTGTGATAATGTTACATTCCTTGCTACAAAATCAAATGAAAATGCGGTTAGATATGACCCAAGAAATGAGGATGATACGAAAGATAAACAAAAAGATAACGGAAAAAGTAGTTTTGAAAATGATGTTGAACCAATCCTCCAACAGATAGAAATAATCAAACGATATTTAGTCCAGGCAGAAGATGATGGTCGATGGGATGAGGTGAGGATGTTACAGGAAAACCTTTTTGAACTCAGGCAAGAATGTAAAAAGATTCAAAATAACAAACGTTAAATCATGTCAATTTTTTCAATTATGATTTTTATGGAAAAAAAATAACGTAAGACGCAATTTTTTATCCCAACAAAAGTACTTACAAATTTTATTTCCAGATTGATGCCACATGTTAACATATAACGTTTTTAGTTAATAAGATCATTGCATTGCTAGATGTAACTCTTGAACCAGTTTCTTGCAGTGCGGCCCCGCTTAGCTAATTGATCTTCAGCAGCCATGCATCCATCTACGATGCCTTTTATTATTATGAAAGGTATAATTTCTGACGTTGAGTTCGTTCGCTACATGAATTCGTGCGAATGTTATCCGACTCCGTGATTGAAAATTTTTCTACTGAGGCTTCCGATTCTCAAAATACTTAAACTTTTCATTATAACTTAAAAGCTTTAGCTTGGTTTGGCAAAAAAGGCACAAAACATTTTAAATCGGTTAAAGTAACAATTTTTACTTGGCGCAAACATTCTATGTTGATGTTTTTAAAAACTCGCTTCCACCAAATATTAGAAACTGCAGCACTTTGCAATTTGTCATATCTCTTTTGAAGTAATCTACTTCAAAAACCTCCGTCGAAGTGCAATGAATTTATTATTAATTTTGAGGGTGCCTCATCGTTTTCCTTGGCGTTTAATAAAGGACGTTATTATTATTATTATTATTATTATTATTATTATTATTATTACTACTACTACTACTATATATGAATTCAGCACTGAGTTTAGTGGTATATAGTTTAATTCAGGTATTCAAAATTTTGATTAAAAAATACTGAAAACGTTAGAAGTTTTTAACCCATAAATGAGCCTAAATAATAAACAACATGTTGATAACTAAACTTGTATTCTTTAAATAAAAAAATGAAATTGTTAATGACAGCAAAGATTCTGAGAGTTGATCGATATAAAAAGAAGCTGAAAAATCACGGAAATATTAAGCTACCAAAAACCACTGAATGCCCAAAATCCATTGGTTGGGATCTATACAAACTAGTATTGACAGAGCAAGAACAAAGTTTAGCGCATCTAGAAAGCTGCTACCATATTTACTATCTTAAATCGACCTTACTTTTCGTGATGATGCTGCTGATCTGTTACAGGTTACTACACTACTCTGGGTTATCGATTAGTGAACAAATTAAATGGAAGACCTGGATATCTGAATAAGGTTGTTTGTAGGGAGACAATCACATATGTTGGTCTTGTTAGGTGTTCAGTTTTTTCGGAAGCAATTGTAATTTTTATTATGACGGGAATAAGTGGCAGAAGTGATTAGGTTGCTCTTCCAGAAGTATGTTTGTAATGATCTTGCAACGCAGCTAACGCTGATTATTCCTGTAGAGGTGTTTAAAAAATTATTGAGAATTGTTAATCTGTGAAATTGTTTGCACAGTTCTATCCTCTGAAGAGTCCTAAAATGAATAATAATGAATGAATGAAGAATACCTAATAAAGTTTAAAATATTGTGACGGTTCTCTGTGAAAATTTATTCAAATTTTATTTTGATTTAGTCTTTATAATTATAAAAATTTAATTTCAAATAAAATTCTAATAAAATTCGTCATTAAATTTCACGAAGAAAAGCAACCTCGTTATATTTACGAGTTTTATTAAAGATGGTAAAATTGAGCTACTTTTATGTTAATGTTTATTTTTATTATTGATTACAGTTGATTTCAAAATGAATGTTGATTCGCATAATTATTTCGTGAGTCATCTACGATATACTGCGTGTTGCGTTGGTGAGGGGTAACTTGCCGCATTTTATTAAAATACAATACACCTTGTGAAAAACTTGACTCTTATGACGAGGAAACAAAATCGCATAGCAAGATTCAGCTGTTTTATCTTGAGCAAAGAATTTTATTAAACGAATATCTTAAAATTCTCATATTTTTACATATTGAATCTTCAGTCAGGTTTGATGTGAAGAGACTGAATTATAGAAATTATATATCAAAGTGAACACCTGCTTTTGTTAAAATAATTAATGGTTTGTTTTAATCAGACCTATGTCAGGCCAGGACATATTTTTATTTTCTTTTTCTGTTAACCTCTTCTGTTAATAACTGATCTGCAGCTTAAATTTAAATGAAAAGCGTAAAACAAATTTTTTTAGTTTAGTCTCCAAACACCTGGGCTTATTGTTTATTAATCTGTAATTTACATTCCTATCACGTTTTTGTTAATTATTATTGGACCAACAACTGATCAGTTAATGTTTTGAATGTATTTTCTAAGTTTTAAATTCTGAACTTTTGATGTGGGCCTAATTGGTGTTGTCATTACATTTTAGGCTAGTTATAAATTTATCAATGTGTTCAATCAGCAAATCTAGAAATGCTTAATTAGCAAAAATTTCAACAACTCCAATGGCGTTTTCGTTATTTTAAAATTCATTCATAAACAGGAAAACCTGTCTAAAAAGCCATCCCATCCGTCTGAAAAAATAACTGTCGTATTTATTAATATCCACTTAAACATAATATTATCCATTAGTTACATCTCAAAACATTTGCTACTTTGAGATATTCGTTAAGGCGCATGAAAGTTATTTCTTTATTTGTAACTATTGGGAAAATTTTTCAGTCATTAACCTAGAAATTATATGATACTATGCGTTCACTTTTGAATATTTGACTTAGCAGGTGACTGTCCATGTATTTAATTTCTATGTAAGAAACGTCACATCCATTCATGCTGTTCTTAATGAGTGGAAACATTTTCATTGAAAGTATTTAAATGATTAAAAGATCTAGTTAAGTTTTTTGTTTTTGAGATAACATATGTATGCTTCTTAAACCTTAGTAACAGAGAAGCATCTGATGTGGCCATCAATTTACGTGACGTGCGGTTCGAAGCAAAATGAATGGTCGATCTGTTCGTTATGCATGTGTGATATCTCTTATTGCGAACTTTATGTAAGAATCAATCTATTTTATTATGTACAAATTTAATTGTTTAGATATTTGCATATATAATGATATAAATAATGTTCAATTCTTATGCACATGATAAAATCTTATAAATAACGCAAAAAGGGACAAGACAGACAGGCAGAGATCGAGAGAGGGTGAGAGAGAGGTGATTTATTGGCTTGTCATTATTGCGCTCATTTTGAATATCTATAGACGCCAATTATATGAACGCAAAAGCGTTTAATTGTACGAATAAAAGATTGACTGAATGACTGAAAATGAAATTGATACCCATGAATGAAAAAATGAATGAAGAAACGAATGAATGAAGGAATGATTTAAAGAACGATTAAGGAAACGAATGAATATGAACATGAAAGAATAAGAGCGTATAGATTTTTTAATGTTAAAGACCATTAAAACGAATTCAAATTTAATTCAGATGACCATGCAAAGCAAATGTTACAATATTTTTCATCTCATGAATTTCAACGTATTTTTGAAAATATTTTTTGTTAAATATTTGAAAGCAATGCAAACTCACAAGTTGTTTCAAATAATCTATTACAGCCTCCTAACAATTCGCAAAATATTCATCAAAGAACTGAACTTACGCAATAAAAAAACAAAGGCACTCTAACAGGCAATTAATTGTTCGCGTCATTACATAAAGTTAAAATGCTCAGGCGAAGGCAAGGCTAGATAACGTTCATATTGCAGATGCCTTACAGATTGGAATTTCAAGAAATGACAATCTGTTGATGAAATGTTGAAGAAAAGAGGAATAGAGAATGAAAATAAATAAGCTGTCGAAACAAAAAATATTATGCTGGGCGGTTGTACAGCAAACAAGCAAGCAAACGTCTTCATAGAGCACAAAACGTAACAATGTATCGTCATGTCACTGAACAACAATTAATTTGAAATTTAATGTAGATACTGCTACACAACAACCAAGTGGAAATTGTTTCTGAGAAGAATAATAATTCTAACAGGCAGACATTATACATATAATGTTTTGAATATGAATTATATGTATATATAAAGTATAAATATATTTACATGATCTTACTTTTAATTTAAAAAATATAATTTCATACATCTTTGTGTACATGATATGATAATGAGCAAAATATGGTTATAAGTGGCTTGTAATAAAGCTTGTAAATGTAAGCTGGTGTATATGAAAACCGGCAAGATATTACAAATTGGTTGTATATATTTACACGCGAAAATGAATTAGTTGTTAAATGCTTCGGAATGTCACTTGTAGCAGGCAGGCATGCAAATTCAGTCATTCATCCGCGTACCATGTACCTACCTACACATCAAACTAAGATTCATCTATCTATGCATTTATAATCATCCTTGAAATAAATGCATACGCAATTTTTGATCGATATAATGTGATTTAATATTTAAGATGATTCGGATAAAAATATTACAATTTTAAACTTTATTAAAATTTCTAAATAAATCCGGATATCTATCACGTGATCATCCAATGTTTGTCAGTGTAAACCCGTTTTGATTGGACGACGATGGCACGGGCGGAGTGGATGGGCTGCCTGAGTTGATGAAACTGATCTGGTGATGTTGTGGGTGGAAGAACGGCATGGATGATAGGTACTGCTGCTGCATAATGCGTGCTCTGTTGCTGGCCTCGATGGCTGGCCCGTCCAAGAAACTTGAAATGGATGGAGACGGCCCAGAAGATGAGGACGGATGCAAAAAGAGATTTCCTGATACGTTATATCGCAAGGACATCTGTTCACTTAAGCCTGGTGAGTTTGACGGGGAATCTTTCGAGCCCGTCGATGAAGTGCCGCTGTCTCTCACCGGACTTATTTCTTGTTTCACGTTGTTATGTGAGTTGTTCATGTTGAAAGGATAGTTGGACATTCCGTTCATGTTCGCTCCCATGTTGTAACCGGCGTAAGGGTATGAGAAATTGGAAGATAAGTATCCATTGTTTGTTTGGAAATGTGGCGACGATTGAAGATGATGTGACTGCTGTTGCTGTTGCATTGGCAGGTGCTGCAGTTGTGGAATTCTCGATTGTTGTGCCGGTGCGTACGGTGACGTTGACAACAACAAGTTGTTATTGCTATTGGTGTCAAAATTTGACAACAAGCTTGATTTCGGCGGTGCTGACATTCCAGGCGGTAGACTGAAAGACGGAGCGCGCTGCTGCTGTTGTTGTTGGGTGGCTGGCTTCGTTTTACGACGGGGTCTGTATTTGTACCCTGGGTGATCGACCAAGTGTTGGGCTCTTAATCGTTTAGCTTCGTCTATGTATTGACGCTTTTCGCAATCGGGCAAATTTTTCCACGTCGTTCCAAGCTGCTTTGATATCTCTGAGTTGTGCATTTTCGGGTTTTCTTGAGCAATTTTTCGTCGCTGACCTTTCGACCAGACCATGAATGCGTTCATTGGTCTTTTAACTTTGGCTTCATCACTTTTGGCCTGATTGTTGCTGTTATTTTGGCTCATTACTGATTGGTCATGTTGGTAGGAACCATTACTGGGCGGGGATGAACTTTGTGGTCGCTGGAGTTGATTTTGTTGATGTTGGTGCTGTTGTTGTTGATGTTGGTGGTGTTGATGATGTTGATGATGATGTGGTTGATGATACATTTGCTGCGGAATTTGCATCAGTGGGTTGTTCATAATACTGGGTTTCCTTCCCGCTTGCCTTCAAACTGTTAAACAGGTACAAATAATTTATGAATTGCTCCAAGTGGCTTAATATACATATAATGTAATTATTTATTAATTAACGTAAAAATTTATAAAAAAATCAACTCTGTATGTTTAACAGATAACTTATTTCGTCGTGTATTTAATAATTTTGTTTTTATTATTCTCTAAAACAAATCTAGTTTTAGATTGATTATAGACCAACTGAATTGTTCATGAGTTTCGCATGATTGACAACATGACGGTGACAACCAAAAAATAATAATTTTCCGTTTGAACGACGTTTGGCCTGCGTCTGCAGACTCAACTCTCATCACACTGCCTTTTTGTATATAACTGTTATTTCCATCATTAATGTAAACCATTTCCATCCATAAAAATTAGTAAAATTTTAAAATTGATTAAACGTAATATAAGTGATATAATTGTCAGAGAATTTTTTTGAATTTTATCTTAAAGCGTAAAACAAAATAATTTAAAAATTAATATTTCAAAAACAGCAAAACTGGTAAAATATTTATAAGTAGAATTAATATTAAACTGCTATTATAATGGGCTGGTTGGTTGGTTGGTTAGCCAGTTGGTTGATTGGTTGGATGGATGGATGAATGTTTGGTTGGTTGGTTTGTTGGATGAATGGATGATTGATTGGCTGTTGTGTGATGGTGCATTTTTATGAAATGAATGGTTCATGAATTCAATATAGAAATGCATGCTGCATGTTTTAAGAACTCGATAGATAGACAAAAGAACTTACTACTAACTTTAATGTATTATGAGGAACGTTCTTTCACAACTATCCACACGAAACTTTTGTCCAATAAAACAATAGAAGCTGATCGATAAGTTTTCAAACAATAACTCATTTAACAAGTTCACGAAAAGAACCAGCATTAAATTAATACATATCCACGGAGTAATAATAGAAGTGCTATTTGTTGTTGTTGTGTTATTGTTGAATGTATTGTTGTTCTCTGTTGTTCTTCTGATCATCAATAGTTTTTTTATTGTTTCTATTGAAAGTATTCAAAGTATTTTAAAGTAATTAAGCATTGTTTAGTAATCAGTGTAGAAAAGGCACAGGTCCACCAAAAAGAATTTCATGAATTACTCTTTTGTGACCAAAACACCCTATATATGCAGGGTCCCTATTAATGTTCTTTCTAATATATATATATATATATATATATATATATATATATATATATATATATATATATACATACACACATATATGTATATATATATATATAGAATGCGTAATTATTTATATTCACCTGTACAAATGTTACCATGTAGACACCTAACAAAATATGCAATTATATGTTCATGTGTGGATATCTTGTGTGTGTACGTGTGTGTGCGTATGGGTGTCCATACGTGTGTTTTGTTTGTACATATTTATGTATGTATGTATGTTTGTGTGTGTGCCATTGTATGGTTATGTTTTTTAAATGTTTTTTAAATTGGAATTAGCATTATACAAAAAACATTAAAAAACCAAAGCATAAAAATGTATTTTTTTAATACTTCGACGTATCGTGGCTGTAAAATTTTATTCATAACAGTATTTTTGTAATTCGCTCAGCTGATTTATTCAACATTAAATAATCACAAAAATTACGTAACACAAAAATATTTATTTGAAAGTTAAAAATAATTTTTTATCATTATTTATTTAATAAAATTGTTTTTTCATCAAAGTCTCCACAAGTCGTTCAAACGTTCATTCATTCATCATAGCTCGTTGATTGGTGCTTCGCTCATTGGTTGAACGCTGGGACATTTATTTGCATATGAATTGCTCTGCGCTATTTCTGTCTTCTTATGTGTCAACTAAAGCATTTCAAAGCATGTGCTTACGTTTGTTTGTTAGTTTGTTTGTGTGTGTGCTCGTTTGTTTATATGCATGTTTATTTGTTTATGTGTTAGTTTACGTGTGATTATTCCAGTTTGTATTTACTGGTAAGTGTTGAGATTTTGTGCACATGTATCCATGCGTTCATTGGGATTATGACTTTTGGGTTTTCCGTTTAAAATTGTTTTTCCTGGTATTACATCAACAAATGAATAACAGGAAACTGAAAATAAAGAATATTGTAGTTGAACTAATAGATCTTTGGAACAAAGTAAATTTTCTAGTTTTGTCAGAACAGAGAGTCATTTCCAAAATTACACTGTTAGTGGATGTCTGCTGCAAAACTTGTAACAAATTTTTCTTTTCCAACAAAGCAGGCATCAAGAGTTTGCAGCACTTTAGTTAGTGAAAAAACAGCTGAGCTATTCACTCCATCACAAAGTGGAATCTGAAGAAGAATAATTAAAGATGGGAATTGTAAGCTTTCAGAAATTTAAAATATTCCTCAGCTAGAAAATGATTTTTGCTTACATTTTGATGGAAAAAAAACTTTCAAATAGAGAATATCAAGTTTGTTGGAAAAGTCCATAAAGATCTATTAATTTAGGTATTGTCATTTGTAGATCAGGATCTGCTGGAGATATATTCATTGGCTCGAAAAATCTATTAAATAAATTCAATTGCTTGGCAGAGCATAAAATTATAATATTAAACACAACAGTCGTAAATACAGGGCATAAAAACGGAATTTTCGCTTGACTCCAAAAAGAATTCCAAAGCAAAAGTTTGAACAAACCCCAATTCATCGGCTGCCAAGATCATATAGTGGGCTTGATACTTTATTTACTCGATTTCTTTATTATCACTGCGTCGCAGAAACCAAACATGATTTTGTAGAGATCATTTCAACTCACTGTGAGACTTTGCATAAAAATAGACTGGAGATGTTGCAGTACAAATGTTCAAAAACATCGGATCGCGTGACTATTTTAAATTTCTGTTTGAAATTTGAAAAGCCTACAAAGTATGCACAAATTCTAACAAATTTCCAATAATCAAATGGCTTAAACTACCATCCCCAGTCATGCAGGATGGAATTCCAGAGGAATATTTGCATTATTGGCATATTTTTTCTTTCAGATTATCGTGAAAAGCTGTGCATCGGCATGGTTCTTCAATCAGATAAACTCACTGCTTTCCACTGTTACAATAAACTGCCTGAAAATGCACTGGGTAAACGATCGATCTGGCCTAGATGCTCCGTGTTCTACAAGAGCTGTGAAAACAATGAAAGATATCCATGCTATTTGCAAAACTGATAAACATTTTAATTTTAAATTTTTGAACATTAATATCAATATGTGAATAACTGAATATTGATCTTGTACAAAAATTATTATCATATTTGGGGATTGAATATAAAATTTCATCATTTGGTACCTCAGCAGGTATACTCATTTGAAAAAAGTCGTAACCCTAATGTTCATGTATTTGAGTTTTTATGTTAATGTGGTGCTTGTTTGCCATTTCAATTACATATTTATTATGTGTGTATGTGTATATTTATAATTACATACACACAGGACATGTTGATTTCAGCAAACCACACCATAGCACCAATCATGAGAGCTGATAATCATAGCAGCACAAACAGCATTAATAACGATGACTCCATATTTCACTTGAGTTGTCATTTTTTGTTACGGCCAGTTCCAAGTCCGTCACGTTTTTTAATACGTTTTAATAATAATTCTTGGCACCATTCAAAATCTTTCAAATCAAATTAAAATTATTAATTAGTTTTTCACTTCTAGTAATTATTGTTAATGTTGAAATATTATAACATAAAGCAGCATACAGACAATAGAATCAGACACACAGACAAATATACCAGACAGACCAACAGACAGTCAGACAGACAAGAAGTGACGGAGAACAAATCCGCATGTCTTTGAAAACATTTCACGAAACTGTTCAATTCTCACCAATCAAAATGACTATAACAACGGTAGGGCTGCTAACTGAAAATAGTTAATATTTGGTGCATAAAAACCCCGCTTGGAATTAGTTGTTGAAGGCATTTGAAACACGACTGCATTTTTTATATTAAGTTTCATGTTTGGTTAGCAACAACGAACACAAAATAAGTTCGCAAGTCATGTCAGGTTCGAAAAAATTGTAATTCATTTGGGGAGATTTACAATCAACATCTTTTAAGAAAGCCCAATAAAATTCTTAAATTATAAAAAAAACTTTTCTCGTTTGCTTCCTAACTGAATTTTACTACAAATATTACGAAGAACTCGTATACAAATTTTGCAATAAAAATTTCAAATGTATTGTTCTGTGAAAAAAAGATTGAGCTGCAGTTTTCTTGATTTTCTGTGGTTCTTGTATCAACATGCATTTTCATTAATGGAAAAGATTTTTTAGCTTAGTCTGAAAAATTTAGAAATTGTAATTAGATCTCTGCGAAATCGTCGAAACCCCAGGGAAGGAAATTTCACTTTCTGTAATCTCTCGATGTGACTTAATCCTATAAAAGTCTTGTACATTCTTCCAAAGTTCGGAAGAATCAACAACATTCAAACAGCTCAAATGAACACACTTTTTACACGATGTACGATGCCTCACACAAGAATCATTTTAAAAGAGAGGGATCCATTTTGTCATATTCGAATTTGGTCAATGCACGCACTGCGAAACAGCACCGGACGCCTTTGACCACTCTGCATTATATCAATAACTAATAGTTCTTGCGAAACTGGCCTGTATATTGATAGGAGCGGCAGGTTTCATTCGAATTGTAGGTAGAACTGCATCAAGATGAACGCGATCGTGAGGCAACAACATTTGCTCACAAACACTATAAATAACAGGTTGAGTTGCCACAGTACAAATTATTTTTGCACGATCAAAAAAGGAAGCAATGCAT